CTCCTCGGCACTGCAATAAGCCAATTCCGGATCCCTTCCTTCAGCAGGAAGAAGGACCCTCCTAGGCCAGTTGCTGCTTCTGCAGCCATTTCTTCTCCAGCTTCGGCATCTTCCTCTACTACTACTTCCAGCACCACTCCGAACGTAGTAGTTGTCAACCCGATCACCACTGCTCCTCCTGTTAACCCGAACGTTGCTCTTCAAGTTCGGAATCCCTATGCCCCCGTTGTATCCGCCCAGGATAAGGAACGAGGAAAAAGGCCTCAGCCTGACAGTGAAGGCAACCCTGATGATGTTCCTCTAACAAGGAGGATTCAAACTTCTTTGCTGAACGTGTCTATACCTCCCCAAATCAGACCAATTACTCCCTTTGGGTCCGGTACAGCTACCGCCTTTCCCTCTGGAGAGGCTCCATGGACCCCTAGATTCGTCCGAGCAGATGGATCGGTTGTTAAGCTAAGCGAGACCATGTTCAGAGAAGGCCCTACCACCATGACCTATTACAAGAACATGTGGTCCCCCAAAGACATTGAAGTTGCTAAAGCTCTGTCTCAAAAAGAAGTTTTTAGTCACTTTCCTTTGACTGATATGGAGGTAATTCCCTACCCCTCTATTGGTTACTTCAGAAATGTCTTCATATTACAATTTCTTTAGATATACGTTTGGCTTAATTAGTACTCATGTGTTATTATGCAGACTCTATTTAGCGTGATGGTAATGCAAAAGCATGTCGAGGCTGCCAATGCTAAGGCACGAAAGTTCGCCAACAGCCTTGACGCAGCTAACAAGGAGAATAATATCATCGGCACCAAGAACGCCGAACTGATGGTGCAGCTAAATAAAGTTGAGAATGAAAGGGATAGTCTGAAGAAGGAAGCGGATTCCCTTCAAGTTGAGAGGGATGCCCTTCAAATCGAGAAGAGCATCTGGCAGATCGAGCGTGAAACACTTAAGGCTGAAAGAGACAATCTCCAGTGCTTGCTTTATGACGAACAGGCAGATCGTATGGCTTTTGAGAAGAGGGCTCTGGATGAGCGCAATGCCTTGCTCGGCGTTATCGGCAATGTTAATGGCGGAGTGACGGCTCTGCATGGTCACTTCTCTAGGATCGGAGCCCTCAGGTATGCTGAGGGATACATGGAGGGTTATAGTGACCGTCTTCCTGCTAAGGGTCAGACCAGTTCTAGCGCCAATCTAGATGATATTGACAAAGAACTAGAGATCGATCCCCCAGGAGTTTATGCTGACCTGGACTCCACTCCTGCCGATCGTATTTTTGATGAATGCCAGGAGATTGCTTCCTTAGGAGTTATTCCTATCCCCTCAGCTGCTCAACCCCTAGACATTCCTCCTCTTTCCACCATGGTTCCTCCTGCACCTGTTGCTGAGGGAAGAACCCAACCGGATGGAACGATCATCCAACTTGACTCTCCTCCCTGAGGGGAGAGTACAACCAATAAAGGTGAGGGGAACTCCGAGCGCGGGCAGGAGACCGAGGGCGTAAACAGGATTGAATAATTACCTGCAAATGCATCATCTTCTTTTGTATACTCTATTCATTCCACCAGAACCATCTTTGTAAATGTTTAATAAGCATGAATTTAATGAAATGAAAGACTTTTGACTAATTTTTATCTCATAGTGTTTTTTTCATTGTTGCTTCTGAGTTATCATTAATCATAATTGTTTGGCACTCGGTTAAAGTGGCACTTGTCGCTTACATCACTAAGTGCCTGGCATTCGGCTGAATGCCACTTGCCACTTTGCTTTTATTTTTAGCAAGTGTTTGGTGTTCGGCTCATAGTGCCAACTGCCACTTACTTCACTGAATGCCTAGCGCTTGACTGAATGCCACTTGCCACTTAGCTTTTTATTTTTAGCAAATGTTTGGCGTTCGGCTCATAGTGCCAGCTGCCACTTACTTTGCTAAGTGCCTGGCGTTCGGCTGAACGCCACTTGCCACTTGCCACTTGGCTTTTTATTTTTAGTAAGTGTTTGGCGTTCGGCTTATAGTGCCAGCTGCCACTTACTTTGCTAAGTGCTTAATGTTCGGTCATCTTTTTGGAAGAAAATATTACTTTCTATATATCTTTTGAAGTTTTATACACTCGTAAGCACGCAATTGGAAATAAACATTGAACAGACCGGAACTCAATACTCAATTTTCTATTGGTAATACCTTTTCAAAGATGTGGCATTCCATTACTTGTTTACCAGCCTTCCAGCCATGGTCTTTAGAACATATGCCCCCTTCCCTATGATTTCTGCAACTCTATACGGTCCCTCCCAAGGTTACACCATTTTCTTGACAATTCCAACCTTTCTTTTTAGAACCAAATCACCAGGTGCAAAGTCCCTATGTCTCACCTTTCTGTTGTGACTGTTCATAAGCGTCTGCTGATATGATGCCAGCCTTACTGCCGCTGCATCCCTCTTATCTTCAAGCAGATCGAGGTTGAATTTCAACATGTGATCATTCTGCTCTTAATTCAATGCTAGGCTTCGAATGGTGGGAACAAAGTGCTCGACCGGTATTACTGCCTCAGTACCATACACCATGGCGAATGGGCTCTCTCCGGTCGGTCGTCTCGGAGTCGTTCTGTAGGCCCACAAGACGTTCGGGAGCTCATCCAACTATTTCCCTTTTTCTTCTTCAAGCTTCTTCTTTATACAAGCAAAGATCGTTCTGTTCGTGATCTCAGCTTGACCATTTGCCTATGGATGGTTGACCGCTACTAACTTTTGGTTAATTCCGTATTCTTCCAACAATTCCTTCACTTGCTTGCTATCAAGATTAGTCCCATTGTCTATAACAATCAACCTCGGCACACCAAATCGACAGATGATGTTACTCCAAATGAAGTGCCTCATTTGTGTCTGAGTCACACTGGGATATGGTTTTGCCTCCACCCATTTGGTAAAGTAGTTTGTTGGAAGCATAACAAACTTATTCTGTGATCTGGCGATCGGTAGCAGGCTAACCACATCCATCCCCCATTGCGCGAAAGGCCATGGTTTGGCCATTACATGTAAGTCTTCTAGTGGTTAGTGGATCAGTGGTCCGAACCTTTGACACTTATCGCACATTCTTGATAATTCCTCCGCATCTCGTGACATGTTCGGCCAAAAATACCCCTGTGTCATCGCTTTGTGTGCTAAAGACCTCTCCCTTGAATAGTTACCATACACACCTTCATAGATAGTTCGTAGTATTTGCCGAGCTTCTGTGGGGGTTACACATTTCAAGTAAGGCCCTAAGTAAGACCTCCTGTAGAACTGGTTGTGCACTATGGCATACTTCGTAGCATTCAATCTGATCTTCCTTGCTTCATCCCTTTGGTCGGGTAAAACTCCATCTCGTATGTATGCCATAATTGAATCTATCCAGCTCGGCTCATATGGTATGACATTCACTTGCCAAGGATCCGAGCTTGATGACTTTCCAAGGATAGATGGCTGGCACAACACACCAACTGGAATTACCCTTGTCAGTGTTTCCCCAGAACTCGACGCACTGCATGCCAACCGATCGGCGTCCTCGTTACGCGCCCTCAGCAATTGGATGAACTTAATCTGATTAAAATTCTCAACCTCTTGTATAACAGCTGAACAATATGCCTCCATTGTTTCATCTTTGGTTCCATACTCCCCAGTCACTTGTCGAACGATCAGCTGCGAATCACTAAAAGCGACTAAACTTTTGACCTTTAGCTCCTTGGCCAACTTCAATCCAGCCAGTAGTGCTTCATATTCTGCTTCATTATTGGTCGCTCTGAATTTAAGTCTGATTGCCTGGCTCAACGTGGTGCCTTCATCTGATTTGACCCCAATTCTTGCCCCCATCTGATTTGAAGAACCATCAACGAAAAGCTTCCACGAAGAGTCTTCGGGATTTTCCTCTGGCTCTTCCACATCACACTCCAGTAGGAAATTAGCCACAACTTGCCCTTTGATGGCCGTTCGGGGTTAATATGTTATGTCAAAAGAACTCAGCTCTATTACCCATTTCGTCATTCATCCAGACAAATCAGGCTTATGCAGGATCACCCTTATGGGAAATGTGGTCAGAACGACTATAGGATGGGACTCAAAGTAATACATGAGTTTCCTCTTTGCATTTACCAAAGATAAGATTACTCGTTCGGCCTTCGAATACCTTCTCTCTAGCTCGGTTAGCGTTTTGCTGACATAAAAAACTGGGAACTGCTTACCTTCTTCACATCGTATCAGAACACCACTAGTTGCAATGTTGGAAACTCCAAGGTACAGGAAAAGTTTCTCACCTAGTTTTGGGGCAGTCAGGGCTGGTGGGTTTCGCATATACTCCTTCAACTTTGTTAGTGCTTGCCTCTGCTCATCCCCTCAGGATTGCTTTCCGTGACTTCTTATTGTATCAAAGAATGGCTTGCATCGGTCTGATAACTTAGAGATGAATCAACTTAGTGCCGTTATGTGTCCGGTGAGAGCTTGGACTTCCTTGACAGTGCTTGGTTCTGCATTTTTTAGTAAAGCTTCCGCTTGGGCTGGGCTTACTTCAATCCCTCTGTTGTTGACCACGTGGCCAAGGAATTGCTCGAATCCCACACCGAACGAGCACTTGGTTGGGTTTAGCCTCATTCCATACCTTCTCAGTACATCGAACACCTCCTATAAATGTTGCAAATGATGGTCCTTCTGTTTGCTCTTTACTACCATGTCATCGATGTAAGCTTTAACAGTCTTGCCCATTTGATTCTTGAAAATCTTGCTGACCAACCTTTGGTACGTAGCTCCAGCATTCTTCAGTCTGAACTGCATGACCTTGTAACAGTAGGTCCCTCGTTCAGTGACAAAAGAGGTCTTTTCCTCATCGTTCGGATCCATTGGGATTTGATTGTAACCTGAATAAGCATCCAGAAGGTTAATCGTTCATACCCCGCTGTAGCATCCACTATTTGATCAATCTTTGGAAGAGGAAAGCTATCTTTCGGGCAGGCTTTATTCAGATTGGTGAAGTCAATTCAAATCCTCCACTTTCTGTTCTTCTTTTGCACTACAACCACATTCAACAGCCAGATCGGGTACTGAACCTCTCTGATGAACCCAGCCTCTAATAATCTATCAACTTCATCCACAATGATCTGGTTGCGCTCCAGGGCGAACCTTCTTTGCTTCTGCCGTACAGGTTTAACGTTCGGATCTACACGAAAGGAATGACAAGAGATAGAGGGGTTGATTCCCAGCATGTCCGAAGGGCTCCAAGTGAACACATCTGCATTCTGGGAAAGGAAATCAATCAACTGGCGCTTCTCTTCCTCGCCAAGCCATGAACCTATTTTAGTGGTTCGGTCTGGCCTCAAATGATCAATTTGAACATTAACTAGAGGTTCCTCGATCAATACAAAAGACTCCTCCTCCCCGTTCGTGCTGGGGGGAGGCTTTTGTAATTGCTATTGTGGGCTATCAGATCGGATGGGAGCTTTTCCCTTCCCTACGGCTTTCAGAGTCACCGAGTAACATTCCTTTGCTGCAACCTGGTCCCTATGGATATTAATCACCTTATTTCCATCCGGACTCAGACATCTCATCACTTGGTGTAGGGTTGATGGGACTCTCTGGACTCTATGAATCCACCTTCTCCCCATCAGCAGATTGTAACATGGATAGATCTCCACTACCACAAAGCTTTCGACAAGTTCCCTCTCGGCAGCTCGAACAAGCAATTCTACTGTGTCGATCAATTCGACTCGCTTTCTACCGAATCCCAACAATGGATTCCCAGTGCATTTAAGCGCCTCTGGCTTGATTTCTAGCCGATCGAAGGTGACCCTTGGCATTACATTCGCACTGCTCCCTAGATCAATTAGCACCCTTCGTACTAAGCACTCCACCACTGTTAGACTAATAACCAAAAGGTTTCATGAGGAATTTGAACTCGCAGCAGGTCTGTTTTGTCAAACCTTATCTGTGTTGATACGCTCTGCTAGTGTAGAGTGTTGACACTGCCTATTCGCCTCTTCATTTGCACATGGCGGAGGTGCGTTCGGAGCAATTCTTCAGATTCTGTTGTCTGTTCAGGTCGGCCATGAATTGCATTTATAATCCGAATGGGCTGAGCGTTATGGTGATTCAGCTTTTGATTTCTCTTAACTTGCTTAGCGGGTCGATTTTGCTCCTGCGCTGGCCCTTGAACATATCCTGCAAATTCTCCCCTTGCGATCATCTCCACTTGCCTCCTTAAGTTCCTGCATTCATTAGTCTGGTGACCAAAATCACTATGAAAAGCATAATGTTTAGATTGATCTCTCTATTCGAGAGGTTGTCTGATTGGTAAAGGGGGACGGAACTTATCTTTGTTTTCTTGGTACAACCTTGCTAGAGTGATTTTGAGTGGAGTAAACGACTCCTCCTCTCGGGGCCTCTTCTCTGCCTTCCAAGAGGTCTGACGCTGTGGAGCTTGCTTTTGCCGAATCTTGGCTTTGGACTTTTCCTCTGTGGAGATAATAGATGTCTTCCTTGCATTAGCTGCTTCTTCTTCTTCCAGACGCACGAAACCGTCGGCTCTCTCATTCAGCTCATCCATGGTCTTCGGCGTATTCACCACCAGACTTATGTGGAATGGTGTCCCTCGGTTCATTGCTAACTTGAACACTTGAATTGCTGTTGATGGATGACACTCCATAACCATACTCTTAACAAGGTTAAACCTGGTAAGAAAAGCCTGGAGTCGTTCATCTTCGTGCTGCTTCATTGTAAACAGGCTTGACACATCTTTAGCCGGGCGTTTATTTCCATAGTATTGGCTGATAAACTTATCACACAAGTCTTGGAAGCTAGGAATTGAACCTTGAGTCAGATTCTTGAACCAGTTGAGGGCTGGCCCTGACAAGCTTACAGGGAAGCATTTGCACATCAAAAGGTCATTGTTCGTATTCAAAGCCATTTTCAACTGAATGTGGTAAATGTGATCGATCGGATCGGTCGTTCCATCGAACATAATGAATACCGGCATAGAAGACTTCCTCGGATTCAGAGCATTCAGGATTTCGTTAATGAACAGTGATGCAACCGTTCTTGCGGAGGAACAGAGTGCTTCATTCTCCCTTGAAAACCGTGATGGAATCCTCGGATCTGCAGATCTTCCTTCTGAACTCCTGTAATCATACATCGCCATTGAAGGTCGGTAAGGTAGATCAAACGATCTGTCATCTATGAATTCCCTATGCCACGGCGATAGAGCTCCATAATGGCCAAACTCCATTGCTTCATCACGTCATAACCTTCCCTGAGTTGGATCAAAAGTGGCGGCTTCTTCTTGCATGATCCATTTACGATGCGGATCCAAATGGATAGATCTTTCCCGCTCTTCCACCTGACGGACATTTGGAGGTAAATCGTTTAGCACAATTTCCTCGCGATGAAGATCCATACGATTGTTTCCTTTCGGATCATCGTGATCTGGATGGCACAACTCCCTCTCCTACTGGAGGTGGCCTTGGAAGAGCAGAAGCCTCACACGCTCCATTCCAACTCACAATTCTGCATTCTCTCTTCTTAATGCTTCGATTACACTCATCAATTCATTGAGCTTCGACTACTGGCCATTATCCAATGGATTTGAGCTCTCACCTCTGATCATCATTCCTGGTTAGAGCAAAGTCATCAACCGCAACTTTCTGGTCAGATCTCAGTTTTGCTAATGCAATCACACTAAATCTAGACTCGAATTGGTTGAACTCTGACCTTACAAGACCAGATCCGAATCTCTTCCACTGTGAACCTGTTAGATCTAGCTCTGGCAAACAAAACACAATCGCATAGATCGATTGAACAAGCACATGCCAGAACTACGCAGATCGAATGCAAATCTCTTCAAAATCAACCAGAATCGGAATTCGGTAAGACGAACACCGAATCACTCACGATCCAGATTCACTTTTCAGAGATCAAGCTTCTTCCTTACGAATCATTCACGATCGAATCCCTTTTGACCGATCGAAAATCAATCTTCTTCGTTTCCCACAGACGGCGCCATTGAAGATGCAATAATTTCCTCTCTATTTTGACAGAGTAACTATGCACTTCAAGAATTTTTCGATCCCCTTTTCCCTCTATTTTTCGCCTATTTATAAGCTCTTACATACCTTCTAGAAGCTTCCCACCTAACTTCTGGTATTGGGCCTCCTCCTGGGCTTCTTGAGCTACAGGCCTGATTACGTTTAGTGGATCCTCAACTGCTTCTTTAGTTTTGGGACTGTCTTGTTAAGAGCCTGGTTCGGATCTAGGTCAATTATTAGGCCCATTGCTGATCATGTGGGCTGTACCCGGCCCGAGCCGTTTTTGGTATCCTCAGTCACGAACTTTGATCTTTCCAAGCTCACGTGCAGCTTTAGATACTGTTAAACCTTTTGAAGTAATAAGTCAACTTAATTTAAAGGTTAAAAATCCATAAAGATGCTTCATGATAGACTTACTTAATGGCCTATTGAGTTTTTGCAACCATTTTTATGGAGTATATTAAAGAAGAGAGTTGCTAAACTGGATTAATTATAGAATTTCTCACAAGTCTCTAACTTGTATCCAACTGAGAGAAAACAAGGACAAAAATATAGCTCCTCAATATATTTGTCATAGGGTTTTATTTTCATAAATGAATGGTAATTGTTCAAGTGATACATAGACAAATAAAATAAGTGTGTGAATTTCTTGTCAATAATGTGTGAGAGAGAGATATCTTGTTTACAAAAGGGATGATCAATGATCAGCCACTGAGACTAGGACAAGGCCAGACACAGCAGTGGGGAATTTTTCGTAATGGGGGCGAAAGCTTTTTTTTTTTTTTTTTTTTTTTTTTTTTGCCTTTTTAGTTAGTAGGGTTAATTCATAGTTTGTTTTTTTTCTTCTTTTATTGGTAGGGTTAATTATAATGATACGTGTTACGACAAACTTAACAAATTCAAACAACAATCATGAAATATAATAAAAAAATAAATACATTACACACGAAGCACAAAGGTTTTCATAATTTGACAAAGTCTACGTCCATGGTGAAAATCCGATAAAAGAATTCATTACGCATAAAATATAAGAGATTACAAATTTAAGCCCCCAAATCTTATCTCTCTAGAGATAACAAGTTTCCGCTCCCAAATCCTAACTCTTCCTCTCACTCTTTGTTTTTGCAATTTTTAATGTCTCTCGATGTCTCACTCTAAATCCTAAATGTCCTTATATATTGGGCTATAACAGAGTACTAAATAGGTTTCACGACCTGCAAGTAAAAAACCAAGTCCTCGAAACGGGTCGCATTCCACCCACAACATCAAAACACCCCCTAAGGTTTTAGAGAGAATATTTTGATTTTAACTTTTCCCCAATTACTTTTTCGGCATATATACCGTTAAACAAATGCAAATGGACATTTTTACACGCATTCCTTTATTGTATTTTAATAAAAAATATCGTAAATCTGAAATGACCAACCTGCCCTCATTTATTTATATATTTGATCTTTGCTTCTCTCTACTCTGTTATCACTCTCTCTGGTCCATCACCCACGACCGACGGAAAATGTAGCCATGCATCCACCAAGGAGGGGTTGCCTCACAATATAATAGTCTATAAAATCTTAAAATTCTCTTGTATTCATGCCACCACTCATTTCCTAAAAAAATTCTCTCACTTCACATGGTGTTGGTTGGAGACTTAACTTTTTCTCTCTACATTCTATAAGTGTATATATATATATATATATAATCTATTGAAAGAAATAGCTTTGAGAGAGGGATTTGAATTAAATCCACTCTAATCTGCAATCTCCGTAGAGCCCAAGCTCCCAATCTTTCCCTCTCTAATCTGCAAATCCACATTATGTTGGCTTTATTGGGTTTCTCTTTTATTTCTGTATCGTCATTGTTCTTTCTTTATTATACCATACAATCAGTCGTAGTAATATGTCCTGTAAAAGTTTTCCCGTATTAAGGTAATTCCTAGATTAATCATTATGTCATTGGCTGCTTCTTTTTTCCCTTGTTTGTTGTTTTTATTGTCTGTTTGAAATATGTGCAACGAAATGTTGCTCTCCTGGATTCTACTTTGCCATCCCAAAATTGAAGGTGAGCTTAGGGTTCCAACTTGTACCATACACCAAAAAATGAAATTTTGGTTCCTTATAATTCACAACAGGAAGATACAAAATTTTGGATCATTGAAACTGAGTCTCAGTTCTCTTACATCTACATTTACGGTGTGTTTGGATAAACACGAAGAATTCGAATGGAAATGAAACCAATAATGGTACGAGAGTTTGGATAATTACTGATGGAAACTCAAGTTCACTTGTACAGTGTAATCATGTTGTTTCTATGAGGAGTGCTGTTACTTTATCACCCTTTGACATACATTTCGTGCTTACTATTGCAGGCAAGAAATGTGGGAGCTTAACACGAGCAACTAACTCTCTGTGTGTAGCTAAAGATGAGACGCATCTGAAAGAATATGCAACGCCCAGTTCAATCAATCTAAAGGAGTGTTCCATCAGCGAGGCTTTATGCGGCAGAATCTTAAGCTTTGCCAGGATATTGCGATATCTGGAAAACAGTAAGAGAAAAAGAGAACCCACAGAAGATAATGAAGGGGAAAAAATATAATTATGGGGCTTTGAAGTGTCAAATGCGCACAAACTAGAGCAAATTTATAAAAGAAAATGGATGTAACGGGGCATAATAATGTTTAAATTTCAATCCCCCTAAACAACATGGTTTCCATTGACAAGAATGAAGAATAACCTAATAAATGTACAAAAAGGAGGGGGAGCGAGATAATGTACAAATAGACAGATGTATGGACAGAGATAGAGAGTGATGTTACCCTAAGAAAAATGAGAGGAATAGAGAAACAATAATACTATATAAGAAAAAATTAAGTTGTGGGGAAAAAAGATAAATAAATCTACCATGCGGCAAATCTAGTCATGAACCATCACAATGTTAGGTAAGTACTAATTCAGCAGCCACAGGTCCGAAAGCACAACTTTTCATGCACTAAATAGGAGAAAAAAATATCATTCATTGAAATCAAGCAATCTTTAGCCAAAATAACTCCATACATCATCTGTTCCATCAGAAGGTTGAAAAGAAATCCAACAAAAAGTCATTTCTTAATCACAATTTTTAACAAAAGTCACGGGTGCAGAAAATGATCTAGCTATAGTTACAACCTATAACAATTTTGATGATCATTTTCATTCTAAATACATGGGTTCAAATTTGGAGGCTTCATTCCCAGTCTTCACCAAATCAAATTTTCCAATACATGAGTGCAAAAAACATAAGCCAACTCTGGAACACTGCAAGCTTGTCAAACTATATAAAAGAATTCCTGAAGTAACAGCATTCACCCGTTAGGGCAATGGGAAGGCAAAGGGCACCAAAAGGAACTGCGGAAAGACTAGTTCACATGTGAGCACTTAATGATCATATAACTAATGATAATGAAGAGCATAATGTGCAACCATAATTCATGGTAAATATTCACCTATCCTCTTTTTTTCCCATGGTCAATACCATTATTGTTTTAGCATGTCACTAGACATACCTGAAGAAGCCAAAATGCCTAATCAAATCAAGAATGTAAATCGAACTCAAGACTCAACACAAAACTGCAGTACATACCTGTTATGATTAAACTCAGCTCAGACACAAAACAACAGTGCATACCTGTTATGATCACATGCATTTAAATTAGTACTTTGGCATCCAACTAAATATATAAGAATAAACATTTGCCCACGTTTGACTATCAAAAGAAACCCCTTGCCACGGTTCTTTAAAATAAAATGCCTACTGTAATTCTGTTTCACAAATTCTTACCCAAAAAATAGAATGTAGGATAGGATATAAAGTGATCATCTCATTGTTCACATTTTATTTGATTTTGGGGCTGTGCAAAAAAATCTTTTGCATTACGTGCCACCTCCGCCTCCAGTATTGCTTCCAACACTATGTCAGATCCCTTTGCTTCATCTGACACCATACACAGTGGTTATCTCTCTATTAAAGTATTTGACATGCAATAATAATAATAATAATACATATTCCTAACATTCTTCAAATATACATCCATATGCATACATATTACTCGTGGACACATAACTGAAAGCGGTGATCATACAAGCAAGAATTTGGCAAAGAAACAAGTACTACAAACATATTTGTAGTGTTTTGTTTTGCTTATTTGGGGGGAAGGGGAAAGGGCTGCAAACATATTAAGAAAATTTCCTGCTCTTCGGAATTCAGATATGCCGTTGGATCATGCATGTGTGATGTGTTGTGATTACTAATACATGGACCTAATGCTATTAAAATTAAAGTAATACATTCTATGTGATGAATATAAGGTACATGAGCGATTCATGGAAATTGACTTCTGTCAGGATATGAAAAGGATGTCATTTCCCTTTGCTCAGAAAACATAGGAATTATGTCGATGGTAGTAGTAGCTTTCCTCACTTAACAGGATAGTAGGTGGAGTTCTGAGAGAATCTCTCTAAACATTTCCCACATCTAGTTTCACCAAGTACAAAACATGGATATGGCAATGGGATGGTAAGCTGGAGAACTCGTGCGGCTACACCTCAATTGGGACAGATATGGATTTCAAAATCCAGTTAGTTCATAGCTGTACAGTTTCTCTCATTGAGATGTTAAAAGTAATAGAGCAGGGAACGCAATGGGGATTCTACATGAGGTAACATGTCCTGCTCTGCAATTATCAGGCTGGGTATATGTATCCTAAATGAAATCTACTTCAGAGCTGACAAGTTCTAGTTCCATAAGATCTCAATGATCGAGTCCTATGTATTTACAACTACAGAAATTTGTGTACAAAGGCCATCTCCCTGTTCCGGTCCAACAACCAACAGTTCTAGGAGGGAAGGTCAAGTAATAACTTAACCTTTGACATTGTTTTGCAGACTAGTGCCTTTAGACTTGAACTCACATTCTTACATTTGATAGACTAAACTTTGACCATTACACCAAGTAATAGCTCCTTTTTATATCGACACCTGGGTTGGTTGAATAACTTGCTCGATGTCACTTCTCAAATTAGGTTGAGACAAACAAGGAGGTGTAACGCAGGTTCATTGGAATAAGTAACATAGTCCAGAAAGTAATGCGTAAATGAATAGCTGAAGAACATTTAATTGTCCAATGTTTCAATAAGCAAATAAAGAATATTATTTTATTAGTGCCAATTTCACAAACACCCTCTAAAATATGACCATTACACAAAACATACCGAACTAAAATAACATGACGAATTCTCCCATCGAATTGACTTGGCTAGAAGGCATCAACACAGGTTACAAATTTACGAATTCTCCAAGTGTTCAAATTCATTAACCCTTGATCTCCAAAATCAGTTATATTTGGAGATCCTAGTTTCCTCATGTAAAGAAGACAATAAAAAATAAATATGCTGCCTGAGATGGAGGCCATAGTTGGTCATCACTTTTCAGTGACCACCTACATTTTTCTTTCTCTCTCTCTCTGTTGTTAAATCTATGTGTGGAAACAAGTTCTAACATATACTGATGAATTTATCTGATTTTTTGTAGTGGGGTCGAGTGACTCGAGTTGATGGAGACAATGTGATCTGAGATGGGCTCTGGGTGGTGGTGGCTTGATTGGAATGATAAAGATGGTCGTTGTTTAGTGAGTCTAGTGACAGTGGGATTTAGAATTTGGATTAATCTCGAGAAAGAAAAAAAAAAAAAAATAGAAAGAAAGGTTAGAAAAGGATGAATATTAGATAAAATCTTATCATAAATAAAAATGTTAATAGGTTCATATACAGCTCAATTTTAAGTCCTTTACCAAACTTCTACGTGGGGTTCGCTCCTCCAATGTATTATTACTCCATTAAAGGAGACTTCAAAACCATGTTACATGGACTCAGGTACGTGTATCCGAAATGGGTATGTATATCCATGTGTCGGACGTGTCAAATCTCCAAACAGAAGGACACACGGACACGACTAAATATTTATTTTATTAGTTATTTTATTTTATTTTCTAGAGTAAAGTAATGTTTTTATCTAATAAAATATTCAGTATAGGCAATTAACTCATTTTAAAGTAATAATATAATATCACTGAATGATTGGATATGTTTTTTAAGTACATGTCCAACCAAAAGTGTCGGATACTCGGACACATATCCCATACCCATGTCCGAGCAATATATGTCTGACACTGGTACTTCTACTTTTGAAGAATCCATGTAACAAACATAATTCAAAGGGAGCAATAATTTTAGAAATTGCACAAAAGTGTTTAGACCCCTTTCATGTCTTTATAGATTTGATAAATTGACATAAATTACATAAATAAGCACATTTAACAAAATGAGATGTCCCATAAATTCAGATATCACATTAATTGTTACTTTAAAATTTTCAATCTAGTTGTCAATTTGGTAAGGAAGTCCGGTTCAACCTCCAACCACCAAAAATGGATGTAACAGCACCATCATTAAAAGTTTAACAAAACTAACCAAGTAAGAGCAACATGTTACAAACTTATGATGCAAACATGTCGAATCAATAGCAACATGCTACAAACTTAATGTGATATCAAATTTGAGAAAAGATTATTACCCCTACGATCTGGCAACAATCCTGTGCTTTCGGCAGATACAGGAAGAACAGTAACACCTGATTCATTAGTTAGCTCACTAATGATTTCTTTACTTTCCATAGACCCAGAGTTTAAACTGGAGGATTCAGCCAGTCTTGCATAAGTAGTTGCTTGGCTGTGCATGTTGGATGATCCTGGTGTTGTTGAACTATCCTGTAAAAAATGCAATTACTTAATTAAATTCATTAATAAAAGTAATTAAATAAAAAAGTAATTGTAACAACCGTGAGTGAGTTCGCTCAATAAAACCTTAGTGTTTGCAGTTGTCAATCCACTCTCTTCATTAAGTTTTTCAGGTTCACTGTTTCCTAAAACTGTGAAACAGAGCATCCGGATCAGAAACAGAAAAACTAGAAAAAAAATGTAGACATTAATGTAGAATTTTTTTTAAAAAATATATATATTCAGATAATGATGATACCATTACTAACAGAAGTTTGGTCAAGATTGTCCACTAGCCTCCGAGTCATGGGGCCAGGATTCATGAAAGAGATGGTTCGAATTTCATAACGTATAGCTTCTAGCTGAGCAATAGTATCTTGCAATTCTTTATGCACCTGAAAGTTAAAAGGACGTGATTTTGAAAAGGGTTAGGAATAAGTAAATATACAAGACTCTGCGAATAAGCTTATACACAAACATTCATCAGAACCATTTAAACAATAAAACCCAAAAAAAAAAAATTAAAAAAAAAAATACTGACATGAAAGGGCATTACATACACAATAACACCCAAAAAAAAAAAAAAAAAAAAAATCAAGTAGCTAAATTTAAGACCAGATAATCCAATAGAACTGATCATCAATGTGTAGGTCTATAAGTAGCTAAATTTAAGACCAGATAATCCAATAGAACTGATCATCAATGTGTAGGTCTGTATATATATATATAGAGAGAGAGAGAGAAACCTGACGAGCTTGAGATTGCTGCATGACATTTTCAAATTGGCCACGAGCCAATTGAACGTATCCGATGGAACGGCCAGCCAACCTCCCCGCAGTTCTTGCTATAGCTGGAAGATCCTTGGGTCCTAAATCAATAGGGCATTCGGTGAACAATCAAAACCCTAATTCAGTATTTATCATCATAATGAATTGAATTGAGTGCTAACACATATAAACAGGCTCAAATCTGTACAAAATGTGCCCTAAAATACATAGAGAAAACCTGAAATTAAGTTAAAACTACTAGAATTGATGTGCGTATATGTGAATGTATATATATAGTTAGAGAGAGAGAGTACCGATGAGAGCAGCGGTTGCTCCGATTAAGAGGAAGAGCTCTCCATACGAAATCCCCAGCATTTTTCTCTTCAGATGCAATACTTAGTCAATTTACATACTCTGCTTTCGAAATTTACAGCAACGTCGATTCTTCTTCCAAGCTCTCTAACTCTCTTATGTATATTTATGCCTGTTTGTGTATAATTGTATATATCAATCTACTATATATATTTGTTTGCGGACAAAAATAAGATTTAGCTTTAGCTTTGGGTTTTTTTATTTTTTTTATTTTTTTGGGGACAGACTCTAAGTCACATAAAGCATAGCGGGAGTGAAGAGCGAATTAGATTGCGACAAAATTAAATAATAAATAGTAAGAATTTGAGCCAAAGAGCGTCCGTAATGTGAGAGGAATAGTGAGAATTTGAGCCAAATAGCGCCCGTAATGTGAGAGTGGGAGCGCGCTTAGAACATGAGAGCTACACCGTTAATTAATAAAGATAATGTGACTTAGGGTAGACTAATGAATCTTGAATAAAAAAGTAGCCTATTTTTAAAGTTTGTTTTTTATTTTAATTATATTAAGTAAAATAATTAAATATAGATTGAGAACTGTTGTTCAAACCCTTATTCTAAATTATCAAAATATTCTTCTTAAATCAAATAATTATTTTTCACTCAATTTTTTTAAAAAAATCCACTGAAATATAACTAATTTTTGGTTCATTAAAATATGCCATTCAAACTACCATAGCTCACCTACAAAACCTCCTGTGCACTACCAATCAAAAATACCTCAATAAGCAAAAATCCCTTCCCCCACCCCCACCACCACCACCAAAAACTATGTTGTCTGGTTACACTTTAACTAATCAGGCAACCAGCCCATAGATTTCTAACATATGCCTTGCACGTGATAACCCATATTTCTCTAAATGACCTTTAAAGACATTTGAACCCAACTAATATCCAAACAAGCCCTAACGTTTTGTCCTTCCTTGTTGATCTATGGAGTATATCTGTAACTGCCTATATATGTATATATATATATATATATATATATATATATATATGTTATATGTTTTACAGAGAATGAGTTCCTCTATAGCTGCCTATATATGTATACATCATTTAATTTTGTTTAATGGAATCTCTCTCTTTCTCCCTAGATATATATATAGGTCATGTGCACATGCCAGTCCATATTCATGGCAAGTTTTCATCGGGAAGATGAGAAATTTGATTTCAACAGTAATATTTTATCACCAATCACCAAACACAATCGCAAAATTCTAAACCCATCGCCAAACTCTTTGCAAAACCGAATCGAAAGCAAACACAATCACAAGCAACTCAATCAGAAAACCCCATGAATATTTTATCACCAATCATCAAGCAAACCCATTGCAAAATTCTCTACCCATCACCAAACCAATAAAACAGAAATTTAATTAACACCACCGCTGCTACAACAGCCATGTCAATGGGTCTTTTCGTCGAAACAACATTCTGAGGCTCAATCTTCACCAACATTCTCTCCTCCTGCAAGTTTCAGGTTAGCCCTCACCAAACGATTTCAGAAAGAGAGGGATGTATAGTAAGAGTGGGTCTTTTAAAAAAAAAAAAAAAAATTACACTTGTTCAATCTTTAAGCTCAACCTCAATCTCAATCCACAATAAAATACCATCACTGTTGCTGAATCTGATGCGGTCATCTTTCATTGTTACGCAAACTCTGAAAATTCTTCAACTGTTGAATAATTATACAAGCTAACAAGTGATACACACACACACACACACACACACACACATCAGGAAAAGATACGTGTGATGCATGCGATGAATGTTTTATAACTTATAGAATTTATATTTTCATATATTTTAAAATTATTTATAGTTTTATAAAAAAAATAGACAAAACAGTTTTAGGCTCAGAATGCCGTAGAGAGTAATAATTTTTAATAAGGTTCAAAACCAAAAGGCTGAGAAATGTATGATTAATATTTCCTTAGGTTCATATTTTTATAAGAGACTTCCATGTAATCCTTTATAACTCGAAACCAATGTGAGATAATTAAACTATTTTTATATCAATTAATAAATATTATTTCTTTATGTCTATATTTTTATAAGAGGCTTTCATGTAATCCTTTACAACTCAAAACCATAAAATAATTAACTATTTCATTTTAATAAGTAACTTTTAATAAGCTTCAAAACCAAAAGGCCGAGAAAGGTATGATTAATATTTCTTTAGGTTTATATTTTTATAAGAGGCTTCCATATAAACCGATGTGGGATAACTTTTACTAAACTTTAAAACCAAAAGGCCGAGAAAGGTAAGATTAATATTTCTTTAGGTCTATATTTTTATAAGAAGCTTCCATATAATCTTTTATAACTCAAAACCGATAAGGGACAACTTTTAATAAGCTTCAAAACCAAAGGCCGAGAAAGGTATGATTTTTATAAGAGGCTTCTATATAATTCTTTATAACTCAAAACTGATGTGGGATAACTTTTAATAAGCTTCAAAACCAAAAGGCAGAAAAAGGTATGATTAATATTTCTTTACGTTTATATTTTTATAAGAGGCTTCCATTTAATCCTTTATAACTCAAAACCGATGTGGGACAACTTTTAATAAGCTTTGAAAAAAGTAACTTTTAATAAGCTTCAAAACCAAAAGGCTGAGAAATGTATGATTAATATTTCTTTAGGTCTATATTTTTATAAGAGGTTTCCATGTAATCCTTTATAACACAAAACCGATGTGGGATAACTTTTAATAAGCTTCAAAACCAAAAGGCCGAGAAAGATATGATTAAATTTTCTTTAGGTGTGTATTTTTATAAGAGGCTTCCATGTAATCCTTTATAACTTAAAACCTATGTGGGATAACTTTTAATAAGCTTCAAAACCAAAAGGCCGAGAAAGGTAATCCTTTATAACTCAAAACCGATGTGGGATAACTTTTTTCAAAACCAAACCGAGAAAAGTATGATTAATATTTCTTTAGGTCTATATTTTTATAAGAAACTTCCATGTAATCCTTTATAATTCAAAACTGATGTGGGATAACTTTTAATAAGCTTCAAAACCAAAAAGCCGAGCCAAGAAAGGTATGATTAATATTTCCTTAGGTCTATATTTTTATAAGAGGCTTCCATGTAATCATTTATAACATAAAACCGATGTGGGATAATTTTTAATAAGCTTCAAAACCAAAAAGCCGAGAAAGGTATGATTAATATTTCTTTAGATCTATAATTTTATAAGAAGCTTCCATGTAATTCTTTATAACTCAAAACTGATATGAGATAACTTTTTATAAGCTTCAAACCAAAAGGCCGAGAAAGGTATGATTAATATTTCTTTAAGTCTATATTTTTATAAGAGGCTCCATGTAATCCTTAATAACTCAAAACCGATGTGGACAATTAAACTATTTTTATATCAATTATATTAATAAATAAATATTGAAATACCGTAAATTTAGTTATTAAACTCTTTTTATATTAATTAATAAATATATTTTTATATTAATAAATAAATATTGAAGTACTAAAACACTGAAACTCCTTGCACATTTAATTTAGGTCTATATTTTTATAAGAGCCTTCCATTTAATCCTTTATAATTCAAAACCGATATGGACAATTAAACTCTTTTTATATCAATTATATTAATAAATAAATACTGAAATACTGTAAATTTAAGTATAAATTTAGTTATTAAACTCTTTTTATATCAATTAATAAATATATTTTTATATTAATAAATAAATACTAAAATACTGAAACACTGAAACTCTTTACACATTTAATAATAATATAGATATAGTCAGGGAAGGAGGGAGAACGAGGGATCATTTGGGGCAAGGTTTTTTTTATTTATATTTATCATGGGTCACTTCTTGTGAAGAAGATGAACATTATTACAATATATACAACCTTATCAATAAGCACAAAATGCCTGGACTGGAGGAGGAGGCTAAACACGTTGAAGTCGTTCCATCATGGCAGAAAGAGTCAACTGCAGACAGATGATTTGTGCCAGTCAGAAGTAACTACTCATGACATGAAAGCCACAGGGAAGTAGCAGTTGGGCTAAAAATCGCCCTCTTGATCACTGAGGTTAACCGATCTTCGGCTCGGACAATCGACTCACCTTTCACAGAAAAGATACTGAAAGCACCAAAACCCAGAAAGTTCTCAATGTCAGTATTCACACTATTCAACGGAACGAAGGATCCAACCTAGCACATCTATCAGATCCAGTTAAAGCCTCACTAGGCCTGCACTTAACTAGTTCAAGCACATACCAAGGGGGTCTATTGGAAGTACTTTGGTAATCGGCACATTGAGAGGGAAATTTTGTGTTTATTCACTATGAGGCAGCAGGAGGGAGAGTGCCTCAAAGCCTTTGTCACCAGATTCAATATGGAGATAAGCATGGTAATTGATTACCACCCATCCTCAACAGTACAGGCATTTAAGCTTGCCATGACGAGAAGGACTCAGTTCCACACGTCCATGGTGGTGGTCACACCAAAAACCATAGACGAACTAAATTTAAGAGCGCAAGGCCACATGGGTCTCGAGAAGGACGAGGCAGTCAATACAAGGAGGACCACAATGGTTACAGTGAAAAACAAATCAAGAGCAAAGATAACTACTCAGAGAACCCCAGTATCACAGTCCCAAATGATGCCTTGGAAGGCAGAAAAAGGCAACGAAAGGATGAGATAGTCACACCACTCAAGGTCACTTTGGCAAGGCTATATCAGGAGAACAAAGGGATATTCCAAACACCTCAACTGATCAGATAGCCGATAGAACAAAGAGATCAAACCAAGCACTGTGCATTCGATGTGGTGGTTGTCCAGAAAAAGAATGGAAAGTGGAGAGTCTGCATTGATTTCAAGTTCACACAGATACCTAGAAATGGGAACTTTAAGGCAGATCGAATGGCATGCAGTGCATCCGGTTCGGTTGATATACTGACGATGGTCGTACCAGTTGACATCCTCTACCTCTCATCCATCACTCCATCCCAAACTCATGACGGATTCGAACCCAAGTTTGTTTGAAAGAATTGACAATTTCGAAAATACTTGGCCTTAAATAATTGATATGCTAGACCCTGTCTGGTCACCTGAAAATTCCAGCCATACTTAGCGAGCAATGCAAAATCACAAAATCCCAAGCTACCTTCTGATTTGCTCACACATAATTCCTCCCACTTAATCCAATTATTTATATACGTTTATATATTTCTTAACATATTTACTAATTACTATAGAATTAAATTCATAAAACTTCCCATTACTTTCATTTTTTTTAACTTTGTTCTATGTTCTTGTCACGACCCGAAAATTCTAATAAAATCCTTAATTCATTCAAATATAATTACATCACTATACTCTCGTTATCATAAAAAAATTTCCTTTTTTATACAAAACCAATTTCCTCAAATATACACAAAAATTCTCCAGATAAATAAAATCGCGCAACGCCAACTCTTCCACCTAAGCCCAAAAACTACCAATCCACATTCATCTTCGGTACCTGAAACTGGAGGATGGTGAGACAAAAAGTCCCAGTAAGAAAAACCATAACAAGAATTTTATGGGAGTTTAATAAAACAGCTTTACAAAATATACATATTAATATATAAACAAAATACATATGCATTTAATTAAAACATTTAATAAAATCATTTGAAGCAAAATCACCCCAAGCCATTCAAGATATAGAGAACCCTATACGGAAAAAGAATTTTCCTCCTTGGATTATCAAGTCACCAAGTCTCAGCCTCCTTTGCAGACTCTCGGCTCTTTCTGTCCTCAAACTCTCTCTGTCTCCTCAATTTTTCTCTCTCTCAATATTCAATTAGTGTACAAAACACTCAAGACAGATACATCAATAAATAGGCAAACCACAGACCTCACACAGCTCACCAACCAATATCAAAATATCTAAGATAGTCATCACAAGTGTAGCCCACCACCACCACCACTTTATCTTTTCCTTATCACATCATATCTAACAATACAATAACACACTCCAATATATCAGACCAACCCACGTGATCAATTCAAGGTCAAAAAGCTTTGCCCAAAAACAAACAACTAATGGGACCCGCACCATCATTACAATTATCTTTTGCCTTTTTCATTCCCAAGTTCTGCCGGGGCGGACGAGAATTTGCTCCAGTGCACCTCTCACTGGAGCAAATCCAGTGCAGATCCAAGGGCTGAGGTGAAACCACCTCAGCCCATCTACCACACCATCGTCCAGTTAGCACCTAGTCAGCATCCGGTCAGCATTTATATAATAAAGTTACTAATGTACTATTTTCATTTACTAAATGTACGAATACCCCATACACTTATACTAATATACCATACACTTATACATTATACGTATAAGAATATATGATTTACAATTACATTTATTTATTTATTTTTTGTTAAAAATTACCTTCAACTTTACCTTTGGATAAAATTACAGAACCCTAATCTCTCTCCGTTACTCTCCTCTTTGTCTTCGTCGCGTCGTCTGAACCTTCCACTATTCTTCTTCCTTCCAACTCATGTACTCTCTTCTTCGTCTTCGTCTAAACTTCAAAATTTCAAAATTTAATGGCTAGGTTAAAATCTATAGCGAGAAAGAAAATGAATAAACGTATGTTCTAGTTACCTAAGAAGAAGAAGTCAGTTTCTACCAATGACACAAGAACCAAAAACGTCTCACATGAAGGACAAACCTCACGTGAACGACGAAGCAGTGTTGGTATTTTCGGTGGTGAGCAGGATTTGGTGAATCGGCCTCCCATAGTGTTTTTAATGTATAGGTAAACATTGATTATGTATCAGTTTGTTTTAAGGTTTAGAAATTTATTTCAGATTTTAGGGTTTGGAATGGTGAAATTGAGTTTTGGAAGTTAATTTTTTTAACGTGTTAGGAAAATATTATGATGGTATATGCAATTGATACATGATACATGTTTTAAAAAGTTATGATAATAATAATTTGTTGTCTCCAAATATGAAATCTTCGTACATATACTGAAAGTGTTTGCAGTTGTTATATATTATTAATTTAGGAATTGTGATATTGAGTTGTGGAAGTTAATTTTTTGAAGTTGTTAGGTCACTATGTTGATGCAATATAAATTATAAGTTAATTTCATATATGATACATGTTTAGATAAGTTGTGAGCATAAGAAATTGATCTGTCCAACTTTTGTATTGTATTGCGTTACAAATAGTAAGTGATGAAATATGCAAATCTTCCTACATATATATTGAAAGTATTTGTGGTTCTTATTATTAATTTATGAATTGTGAAACTGAGTTGGGGAAGTTAATTGTTTTAACGTGTTAGAAAAATATGTTGATGCAATATGCAATTCATACATGATACATGTAAAAATAAGTTGTGATAATATGCAATGCATACATAAAGGGCCGACTGCATTAGAAAGTACCGGAAATAGCACTTAAAACATAACAAGTTACCGAAGGCAGTGATACATGCAGTTCACAAATCTGCTAGACAGATATGGAATGCAAGGTTTGCTGCTGATAAAGAGCCATGGATCAAGGACTGTATAAGATGAAAGAAAGAGTATGATAAGTTTCCTGAAGAAAAAAAGGCCCCAAAAAAAGAAAGGGTAATTAAATTTTAATGTAAATATTTTATTTGATGATGAAACCCAGAATGTATGCATGATGTGTTATAATCATATGCCTTTGAAGCAGAAGAAAAATGAAAAGATCAATCCGACCCAAGGTGCCTGGCACAGATGCTCTCTTTCCAAGTTCCTCGAAATAGCGTCACACCTTGATGAGGAAAAGATAAAGGCTGTTGAGGAGCTTGGATTTGGAAAATTGTTGGAACTTAAATGTTCTTTTTTGTCCCGGGAGTTATGTATGTATTAAATCAAAAATTTTGACTCTAAAAAAATGTTGTATAAAAGTTGAGGACATAGGCTATATACCCATCCATTCAGCTGATATCCACTTAATCCTTGGCATACCATTTGGTGTTCTAAAAGTGCTGAAAAATAAACACTTTCTTGATTCTAAGTGGATAGATGAAGGTGGTTATAAGGAAGCTGGTGGAATGTACTAAGATATAGTGTTATAGCAGGTTTTAATGGTAAAGGGACTGAATGAATTCAAGCGAGCGTTTGTGCTCTTTGCTTGCAATACTGTACTCAATCCCACCGATCGTACTAATTGTCATTGGGGCTTGTTGAAAACTGTGGATGATGTGAATGCAATTAGCAGTTACAACTGGTACGGATATGTCCGTGATTGTTTGGTGAGAACCTTGGAACCATTTGCAGATGGCAAGCTGAAAAAGTCATATGGTGGTTGTATGATTTTTTTGTAGGTATCTTTGGTTATGATTTTTATACATTTGTCTTTAAAATGTGTGTGAATTATATATTAATTTTATGAAACAAAAGTAATATTTACTTTAATTATTGGTCTTTTAAATCAGCTGCTTTATCTAATAAGTTATGATACGCAATACCGAGCTTATCTTGTGAGAGATATTAAAAGCTTTGATTTTTGGACATCAGAGGTTATACGATCATGCATCAGATGGGAGATGGTAATGGAGGTTTTGGACATGGACATGTAATTATTTTTGTCATGTATGGACAGGTATATCTACGAATAGTATTTTATATTGCTGAAAATAGTTATATATATATATATATATATATATATATATATATATATATATAATTTTATGATAGAGTAGTGTTATCTAAATATGGAATAGAAATTGTTGATTCCTTTAAAGCTGAAGACATGTAGCAGCAGTAGCAATGGTAATGATGTGCCAGCCAAAGATGGTTTCAACCCTTCTTTAAAGATGGATTTTGATGATTATCATTTTCTGACTCGGATGTGGAGGTAATTGTGTTGTAAAATACATTTTCTCTTTTACAAGATATGTTTAAAAAAGTTATGTGAACTAATTGTCCTTATTTTACGCAGAGTTGCATAAGTAAAGTGCGAATGGACATACAAATGACTGAATTAAATGTATTAAAATCCAAAAAAATTCTAACAAAAATGTTGTCTACCTTCAAGAAGCGGGACATGCAAAAAAAAGCAAAACTGTCTACGGACAACGAAGAGAAGAATGATGGGTTGGGTGGGCAACCAAGTGATCCAGATGGTAATGATGATGATGGTGACCGTGTTGAGGAATCAGGTGAGGATGAAGAAGTTGAATGACGAAGTTGAGGATGAAAAAAGTGAGGATGAAGAAGTTGAGGATGAAGAAAATGATGGTGACAATGAGGAAGCTGATGATGAAGAAAGTGATAGAGACTCTGTTGATGGCAATAAGGCTAATGAAGAAGGTAAGGACGAAGAAAATGATAGAGAATCTAGCAATGGCAATGAAAGAAGTGAAGATAAAGAAAGCGATCGAAGAAGTGAGAAAGAGTGTAATGATGATGATGAGCAGGAGCAGGGTGAAAAGAATGAGAGCTGTTCTAGTCCAACTCACAGTCTTTTGCTGAGTGCCGAGGAAAATAATAAGTTAAATGCTGCTGTTGCAGCCACTTGTCGAGATAGTGAGTTAAGTTCAGACCACATTGAGTTAACAAAGAATGAAGGACTTATAAAGGTTGCAAGGGGGAAGAGGAAATTAAAGCGCTACGGATATGTTTACGCTCCCTATGTAAAGAAAAACAATGAAATGGTTTGTCTCACCAAGGAGCAGAAAATGCTGTTGACATATGTGAGAAAGTTTGATGGAGATAGTTCGTAAGTTTTTTAATGCACACTTATCATCTTCTACATTACATATGTTTGCGTTTAAATAATTATTGCATGTGTTTATATGTAATGTGTGAGTATGATACTTAATTTACAAGCGTTGTTGTTAATTGTCTATTCAGTGAAATAATCGTTTCCATGTTTGGTCGCACTATAAGTTGTCATCAGATTCAAAGTGTATTCCATGATAAGTGGTTGTCCGATGATGTGAGTTTAATGAATTTCGTACATTACTATTGCATAGTTATGGTTGTTGATGGTATAAAAATTGAATGTATCTAAATAAAATATATTTATTTAAAGGTGATTAATTTCTTTGAGAATATACTAAACATGGAGGAAGGACCTAATGGGGAAAAGTACTGCTTTAGTAGTAGAGCAGTACAGTTCATTATTGATTTCAATGTGATGAAGATAAAGACTAAAACTGGATGCTGGCCTGTCCTACAGCAAGTCTAGTCAAAATACAAGAAGGATTGTGAGATGGGTTTTATTCCATGTCCCATGCAAGCGCAGATAGTGAGTATGTCTTTTATTTATTAGTAACAAATTTATAAACCTTAGTTTTTGTATGATTAACTCTATACTAACCTTGGTGCAGTTATTATTCTCGTCATGCATAGACAGACATTAGTTATTGTTTGTGATAAATCGTCATAAGCGAAGGGTGGATTACATTTGTTCAAAGCCCCATACATGTATTACCTATCTTAATTTGTTGGTATGCATATGGAGTTTCAGTTAATATAAAGAATTTTTACTGGCAATATATTTAAAAAACACTGCTTTGAACAACAGAAAAAGTTTGCTGGGATTGTGTTAAGTGAAGATTTAACAAAATATCGTACGTACATACCAACTAAAATACTCCGGCAACCTGACAGGTATGTATAATTGAATGTGTCTTTCATGTAAAAATGAGGTTATGTGTCTTTGACTTATTTTTATATTTTCCTTTTAGCGAATCATGTAGGCTTTATGTGATGAGGTTTATGAAGACATGGAATGGGGAATGTTTTTTTCCGTGAATTTGAACACGTAAGTAAATATGTTGATAAGTTAATGGTACAATATATTTAAAGTAATTTAATTAATACTTACATTTATTCATACAATATTGATAATATTGCAGGAAGACACCAAAAACAATGCGTTATGAGATGCTACTGCAATTGATTGATGACGATTGGAATGAAAGAAGACGTGATTTGTACTTACTGGCAGCATCTCTTCCATGAATGACTGTAAAACAAAAAATCAATATTTGTTCATATGTTACCATTGATGGCATTATAACATTAATTAGAATTAGGTAGTTTATAAATTAACATCACAAAGATATTTCATGTAATGTAGAAACATATTTACAATATAATAGTCATATAAATAATTCAATGCATTTATCTAATTTATTTACTTGTCATACAAACAAATATTTTATAATCTCACTATATATCAACTGTTACATGCATATACTATGACAAACACATTTTTATCTGATTTGGTATACATCATAGTGTATTAGTTACTAACATAACAAATATTTTTCATCTATTGTATGAACACATTTATAACATCACATTTATATAAAAAATATTATACATTTTCCTTATTTCGCCTACATCATAGTGTTTTATAAATTAATATCACAAAGATATTTCATATAGTGTATAAACATATTTATAACATAACAATCATATAAATAATTCAATGCATTTATCTGATTTATTTACTTGTCATACAAACAAATGTTTTATAATCTCACTATCTGTCAATTGTTACATGCATGTACCATAATAAACACGTTTTTATCTGATTTGACATACATTTAGTGCATTAGTAACTAATATCATAAATATTTTTCATCTATTGTATAAATACATTTATAACATAACATTTATATAGTTAATATTATACATTTTTCTGATTTCGCCTACATCATAATGTTTTATAAATTAACATCACAAATAAATTTCATGTAGTGTAGAAACATATTTATAATATAACAGTCATATAAATAATTCAATGTATTTATCTGATTTATTTAATTTTCATACAAACAAAGATTTTATAATCACATTTCTCACTATATGTTAACTGGTACATGCATATACCATCATAAATATGTTTTTATCTGATTTCACATACATCATAGTGTATTACTAACTAATATCACAAATATTTTTCATGTATTGTACGAACACATTTATAACATAAAATTTATATCAATAAATGAACAAACATTGTTCTATTCATAACATGTTTTTACCAACTAACATCACAAATATGTAGGCGAAATCAGAAAAATGTATAATATTATTTATATAAATGTTATGCTATAAATGTGTTCATACAATAGATGAAAAATATTTATGATGTTAATTACTAATACACTATAATGTATACCAAATCAGATAAAAACGTGTTTGTCATGGTATATGCATGTAACAGTTGACATATAATGAGACTATAAAACATTTGTTTGTATGACAATTAAATAAATCAGATAAATGCATTGAATTATTTATATGACTGTTATGCTATAAATATGTTTCTACACTACATGAAATATCTTTGTGATGTTAATTTATAAAACACTATGATGTAGGCGAAATCAGGAAAATGTATAATAATATTTATATAAATGTTATGTTATAAATGTATTCATACAATAGATAAAAAATATTTATGATGTTAGTTACTAATACACTATGATGTAAATAAGAAAAACATGCAGAAAGATAACCGCCAATGTAATGCGATCTGAGATTTCATTTATGTAATTACATAACATATCACCCCAGTACACGCACATGCACAAAAATGCAGAAAGCTTTTGCAATTGACAAATATAGATCAAGAAGATTGGCGTTTAGAGCAGGAGCAAGAGCAAAAGTAATTGCACGACTAACTGGGTTTTGAACAGGTGGTGGTGAATCCACCCCCACAAAAAAAGAATAACGTCTTGCTGCACAATTGAATAATCGCCTCCCTGGATTTTTTTTTGTCTGTGAAACATGCAAGAGACTCAATTCTCCATAGAAACATTTTGGGTGTGCCACTTCAGCCCTACGACGTATTAATCTGTTGCTGGATTAAGCCATTAAAGACCTATATCAGAAGGATACCACCTAACAGAAAAAAGATTAGGGTAGGAGTTGGGAAATAAGTGACTGTATTTGTGTGCATGTGTGTGTGTGCGTATATATATAAATGTGCCTCTGTTAGTGTTGTAACGACTCTTGGCCTTCACAAACTAAACGGTTGTATTTCAACGGTTAAGAATTTTAAAGCTGAAAATTATACTATTATTCATAAATACAATATTATAATTATATTGTTTTATAAATACGAATATCTAGTTAGGTGGCTAAGTTATGTTTGGCTATAATATAAGTGGTAAATTTTTTAATTTTATCCATATGTATGAAAACAATTCTATAGTTCCCCCTCAATTTTGTAGTTCCTAAAATTTTATCTTTATTTTCTCTTTTATTCTTCCAATTCCTTAAATTTTCTTAATAAATAAAGTTAAAATTTCCTTAATAGATAAAGTCAAAATTTCCTTAATAGCCCGATATTTCACAATTACGGTTAGGTTTATGTTGACAAATATAAACCCATATATAATTAAGGTTAGGTTTGAATTTAAATGCTAATAACCCGAACTCGTATTCTTAAATTATTCGAAATATATATTTTTATTTTCAAATACATTATATGTATCTAATGTTTAAAATATACAAAAAGTGTTTACATTTTATTACGTACGTTAAATCATTTTTCAAAATAAAATAATATTACTATATTTCAGAATCCTAAATTCATACTAAATAATATTATACATCATTATCTTTATTGAAATAAAAAATAGTGTAAAAATGTAATATAAATCTTATGTTATAAATTTGTTCCTACATTATATGAAATCTATTTGTGATGCTAGTTAGTATAATCATATGATGTTTTCTTTTATATTAGTTACATAAAATACATATATGTAATATATAAAACAATATGTAATACAAAAAGTACATATTTCACATTTCATATTTTATGCAGTACGCATGAAAGTAAGTTCCTTATAGGACTATAAAAGGCTTGCAAAATACATGGATCTATATATGACATAACAAAAGACTTGAACTGCTGGCTCCCTTCTACGCATCATCTGGGTTCTGACCTTTATTTGGAGAGGGTATAGGAGATGGAGGAAAGAGGTCGTTGATGAGGGCATAGTCGTGCTCGTTTCTAGGTCTGCTAAGCGACGTTCCACCCAGCGCAGTTCTTTCTCCATCATCTGCATCTTCTTGATGACACGGGTCAGCTTACCCATGATGGTGTTTAGAAAGTTAGGATGGTTCATATCTAACTCATCAGTCTCATCTGTGTTTGTTTGAGGTTGGGGGACTGGTGGTGGAGGAAATGGGTTAGGTTTTCTTTCTATCTTTGTTGTGCTTGTTGTTAGACAAAGTGTGGATAGTTAGGTTTTATAGGGTGGAAATCTAATTACCATATCTGACCATATATAAATGCATTAAGAGATGCATCAAAAATAGATGTATCAGAAAAGGTTTATATGGCAAAAGGAGAGACGCAGCTGCGTTCAATTAGTTGTTAGGCAAAACAGAGTAGAAATGCTGCGTTCAATTAGTTGTTCGACAAAATAGAGATGCAGCTGCATTGCATTAATAACTAAGATATTTGTGTTAAACAAGTTTACTTAATGAAGTTGTTGGGTATAAATGAAAAGTTAATAGTGCCCAACTACTAATTACTATTCAGTTTATTGAATATATCCATGGCAGCTTCTTGCAACCCGAGAAATCCAAGGCAGCTTCTTGCAAACCGAGAAGTTGGTGAGTTTTCCTATCTTAACTATAATTTTTTTTTTTTTTTATCTTAACTGTGTATATATAATTTATACTTTTCAGTTTGAGCACTGAACTATTCAGTTTTGTGTACTTACTTTTCAGACTGCATTGGCAGCAT